ATTATATCATCTTGGAACATCATCTTTCAAAGGTGAGTACACTTTTTCAATTTGAAAAGCTACATTCGGGGTTGTACTTTTAGTTGCATGCTGCTTAAAAAAAAGGTGTCCTCCAACAGTTGCAAGATTTTCATAAATGTACAACATTGTATTCTTGTCCTTGCCTAGAACATGTACAACATGTAGAAGCTTTGATTCTTACTAGGAACCAAAGGCAAGTTCACGTCAACAACCACACAGACTGCATACCAAACTATCTGCAAACCATTACCCAGGTTGCTTGCCGGGTCGTCACACACATAAAAGGCCAAATATCTGGCCTTGGATTAACAAAGAGCAGCTGGCTGTAGTAGTAGGGAAGTAAACGCTTCAAAATCTTACAATTTGATTCAATCCCACATTTTTGGCTGACAAATGTATTTCTTATTCAAGAATGGGTCCAATGTTGGGTTGTATTCCTTCAGGAAGGTCTTGTGGCAAATTATTTGAGGAAAGCAGAGGAAAGATTGAATACGTTTAGTGAGTTCATATTTGAAAAAAGTTATATGGCAGCTGATTGAAATAATGTTATTACAAAAATGCAAACATTTAATCATTCTACATAAATAATAACTTACTTTTTCTTAAACATTTTAGTAGATGTTGTCAGTATTTCTAGATATTAAATGTGAAAAGTAAAGTTTGTTGTCACACAATAGTGTTTGACACTACTTTGACTTGGTGTGTATGATTACTATATTGTTTTAGAAATGTGAAACATGTTTTGATTAATATAAGAATCTCAATAATTACATGAATCAACTTGTCTAATGTCCTAGTGATCTACCACTATAGTAGTTACAGTCCTGGTATGATTGTAATACCATTTGTTAGCCTCAACAGTAGTCATAGTAACAGAAAAACAGCATTTTACTCTTCTTTCATCCATCAGCAGTGGTCTCCACCTGCTCCTCTCTGCTTCCTCTTTGTCTCAGGCTGAATAATGCCGAATTGAGGTGTGTGGTGGTGGTCTTCCCTGTGGAGCCGGGGCCGGGGTAGCAGCTGTCCCTATCAAGGCTCTCCTTAGAGCTGTCATGGCCTGTCTGCTCCTCGGCTAATCACTTCCTACAGGCCTGCAGCATGGGACCACCGCTGCTAATGTCGTCACCGACTGGGCCCAGAGACTCTCGCAGGATGAGCGTGATGAAGTTTCATATGGGGATGAGTGTGTGGGCAAGATGGTGTGTGTGGGGTTGGTTGATGTGCAGGTGTGTTTTGCCAGCGGCTCAACGGGTGTGCAAATGCCTCTAGTAGTGCAACATGGGTCACGCATTAACACACATACACACACAAACACCATTACCATGGCCCCATTTTTCCCACCTGCCAAAACACATTTGCAACACAAGGAGCTGTCCAACTGTGTGTAACAAGCAAATGGCACAGTGTGTCACATGCTCATATGAAAATGGCTATTTGCAATGACACACACTTCACTCTGGCATGTTCAGCTGAGGTAGAAAAAAAAGCCTGGGGAAGTACATCCAGAGCCAAAAAATGCAATTTCCATCCCCTTAACAAACTTTCAAAAGGCTTCCCATTTTTTGTCACTATGACGATGTCCTGTTAGATGGTTCTGTTGGCTCAGTCAAGCCCTGCGGTGAATATCACAACCAACTGTCAACAGTGATGATTAATTATCAGTCACTCCAGCCATGCAACAAATTGATAAATACATTTGCCTTCTGGGGTTGCAGAGGAATTTGAATAGCCACAAACAGAAAAATAGATTGATAGGTCCAATCAGACGAGTGTAGAATCCAGAGCAATAGATAACAAACAAACAGAGGGTTTAAAGAGTTCAGGCTTAAGGCAGAACAACATGAAACCTGTTAGTGAAAGTTGGTCAAATCAGTCAAATTGGAAACGGGAAGTGCATTACTGTTGAGGGGCCCTGAAACACTTTACCCTAAATATATATGGTTTCATTAAAGAGGCTGTGCATGTGAAAAAAATGAATGTGTCTCAAATATAGAATAATACGATCCCTGAAACAAAGAAGTTTCATGAATGCTTAAGACTGCTCCAAAATGTAGATTTCTCTATAACATTGACCTCAATATCTGACTCAACCGAGTCTGCTCAGTTGATCTTTACACACAGCAAAGTTAGGTTTTATAAGCTAACTCCAAAAGGCTACTTTAACATAGCAGGGTTGGGGATCATAGCAAATGTGTAATTCCTTTCAGCCAAAACCAAATGATTGAGATTGACTTCTGATGTTGCGATAAGGCCTGGGTCGCAACCGACAAGGTCCAGTCAGGGCAAGATGGAAAAATAATTGATCTAAGAACCATTTTTTGTGAGTAGGGCATTGTCAAGTTTGAACAGGAAACCCCTTCCCTATAGCATCGATGTTGTCTGGCGAAGAGCTTAGGACATTCAATGGAAAATCATAACATAAGTCAAACTCTTTGCATGTATAATAAGGAGAGACACAAAGGCAGACAAAATGCCTAAAATGTAAAAAGAGACAGCCTAAATGAAGTCAAATAAACAATCATGGAGATGGACAGGCAGACAGGCTGAGATATGACTAAGAATGGAGACAGGAGGCGCGACGGAGCAGTGAGGCATGTAAAGGCAACTGGTGCCGCCGCGCTGCTCCTTGCCCCTGCGGCGCATGAAGCAAAATAAAGCTGGGAGGGTGAGAAGGGAGACGAGGGAAAGCTGGGTATGATTGACGAGAGCAAACTAAGAAGACATGAAAGGAGAAGAGGAAGAGAAAAGACAACGAGGAAGAGGGTGGATGGGGAGAAGAGAAAAACAACCCTGCCAAAAATGTGACAGCCAGATAAACAAAAGACTGGCAGTGACTTCATATAATCCACTGGGTGGCTGCTGCATTTAGTAACTAACTCCCTGCACGACTGTGTGTGTGTGTGTGTGTGTGTGTGTGTGTGTGTGTGTGTGTGTGTGTGTGTGTGTGTGTGTGTGTGTGTGTGTGGTGTGTGTGTGTGTGTGTGTGTGTGTGTGTGTGTGTGTGTGTGTGTGTGTGTGTGTGTGTGTGTGTGTGTGTGTGTGTGTGTGTGTGTGTGTGTGTGTGTGTGTGCCAGTAGCCCCTACCTCCACTGGCTTTGGCTAGTTAGCACTAAATCAGGGGTTATAAAAGCCAAAAGCTTTCCAGTCATTGTAGCCGCTTCATTCAAGCCGTTAAAGCAAAGCTCTTTTCCCCTGGAGCTTGACCAGCAAATCCCTGTCATCAATTTTCTTTAAACTCCTTTTAGCTCTATGACCATGTTACCATTTGACTTGTGTGATTTATGTGGCTGGTAGTGGTGTTCCCTAAGTGGTGGTGAACGTATGGTTCAGTGATTTCCAACCAGCGGTCTTCGAACCAATCCCCAGCCTTACAAGGAAGATTAATAAATAAAACATATTTCAGAGACAAATTTGACTGATGTGATAAAACTCAACTGATCAAGACAATCTACAAACTGTTCTTTAAACGATGTTGGCATATCGTCCTGTCACTGTTGCAAAACATCTGGATGCTTAGGTACTGAAATAAAAAGCCAGTAAGTAAAAGAACTGGCTGGGTAAGATGTCCCTTTCATTGATCTGAAATTGTTTTCCTATAAATATGAAGCATTGTTCACCACATCAACTTCCAAAAGTTACGAAGTTATCTGATAAGATTTGAGTTTGAATAAAAGGGTTTATGATCACAAGGTTAGTTACAATGACTGCATACAGAATTCAAATGAAGCCCTCACCTGATAAGCGTTAGGTGTCATTTTTCAAAATGTTATCTTTTCTTAAAGGCAATTAACCATATTTCTTAAAACCACTGTGCAAGAAACCTTTGCTTTATGCTATTAGCAAATATCATGGTCGCTGCCTTGACACATTGATATCAGTGCTGGCAGCCTCTCCAATATTATTTGCAACAATATTCAGCGTTTGCTGTAATACTGCAATGTATATCATTGACTGTATGTAACAAGACTTGATTTAAAGTTGAGGGATACAAATATCTCTTGAAAGTAAAGAGTTGTGTATTTATTTGTTGTTGTTTTTTCACAATATTTTATGACATCTCAGTATTTATTCCAAGGAAAAGTTCATCTGATAACATCCTTACAGTACCTATAAGCACACTTACAGTTCCACTCTCAATCTTCTTTATGGCGGCTATCATAGAGTTCCTGATAGATAACATATGGTCAGATCACAGAATATAAATGTTTTAGTTGCATCATAAAATCTTATTGGGAGCTAATTTGAAAGTCACCATTGCGAGACTTCTGCCAGCTAAGGTAAGATGGAGAAATGGAAGAAATAGAAAAGCCAGAAGGAAATTCACGAAGTTGAAAGGATGGGACGGATGAAAGCAGACAGGAGGTGGAGTAGAAAATTGCACCTTGATGAAAATTGGCAAGCATTGACAAATCATTGCCTCGAAGATTGCGGTAGCTCAGATGGGGGTGAAATTATTAAAAATCTGGTTAAATGTTGTGAAATGTCAAATAGCCTGCAAGAGCGTACCGAATGCTGCAACATGCTGCAATAGGTTTAAGCACACTGCACGGGAAGTAGCCTGTCAGTTATGGGTTTGCTACTGATGGTTGTATTGCTTCCAGTGAGAAATAAAAACACCTTGACTTAACTCCAATAGCAAGAGCCCTTACTGTCTTTTTCCATAAGGGCCAGACAAAACTTCAGACAATGACGAAGCGTGTAAGTTTGACCCTTTTTTTATTTTGGCCGCCTCCAACTATAAAGTGCCTAAATTAAGTAACTATAGGTCATGGAAACAGGTGAAAGCTGCTCTCATCACAATGTTCAGTACACCCACATCATCCAGAAAAGGGGTTGTCGTTGGCTAGGACCGCCCATCCTCCCCAAAAACGACATGTCTCTCCCACAAAGGACCAGCAAAACAAGTGCGCCTCCTAGCGGTCAGTCCAACGTCCATGTGAGAGTTGACCTGCTGTTATAAAATCAAAGGTGTCACTTACGGTAGAAGACGTATTCTGTGTAGCTGGACCAGATCTTGTCCTCTGTGTGCTGGTTGACAAGCGAGGCTGTGACTGACGAGTTGCAGGCCACCATTTGGAAACCACACTCCGACAGCATGTCAAAAGACCTCTCCAGGTGCTTGAACTTGAGGTAAAACCGGGAGGTGTACCGTTCCGGGGTCCTGTCCGGGTCCCGGCTCTCGTTCAGGGTCTCCCCGAAAACTTCTTTGGCGAGGGCCACCCTTCCGCATATCAGTATCCGAGGCACCCTCCGGAACTTGGCGTCAGTTTGACTCTCCCGGCCCATGGTGCACGACCCCCGGTAACCCACCGTGATGAAACCGCTCTTTCTGTCCGCGGGGACCAGAGAGGGCGGCGGGCACTGCCGGTGGTCGCTGCCCTGGGACCCGTCTTCATTGTCGCTGTGGCAGAAGTCGTCCGGGCTTTGCTTTATATCTTCAGGGGTCAGGAGCTTCACTAAGTCGGGCAGCTGGAAGTACTCCGCTTCTTTCCTGAGCCTCCCTTTCTCCGGGAAATGGTCCGGGAGGACGACTTGCTTATCACGGAGGTAGTCCAACACATAGCGGAATAAAAACCCGTCTCTGTCGATGAAATACCGGCCTTTAGGATCTCTCGCCAAGTCGTTACTTGCATCTTTTTTGGAGGAGAAAAGCTTACCGAGTAAAGAATTCGGGGTGCCCACCAAAGTTGAGTGACGTGTGTAATAAACCTGCCCCCCTACGTTTAATTCAACAACATCTGGGAAACTGTTCTGAACTGAAGCGGGCTCTTTGGGGTTAGTCCTACAGTGTCCACTCAGCGCCATCGTTTCCGTCATGAACAGAGCAGGCTACACCTATTTCTACAGCAAAGAAGCGACTGATCGAGATTTTAAAAGTTGCCAAACGATGTCCTCGGTTATTCTGCGTGTATGCAGGCCCTCCAACTTCATCCCACTACAAACTGAATAAGCATTTTTCATCGATCCATGGCCATTATCACCTACCAGTCTTTAGCAGTTTTCGAAAATGGGGGGAAGATTGCAGTCCGGGGCGTTCCTCTGTGAATGTTAAATGAAAAGGCTGAGATGGGTGACTTGGAGGAGGGAGGATTCAGTGCAGCGAGAGAGGAGAAATGTATCTGGGCACATCAAAGCCTTAAACCAGTGGCTAATGTTAGACAATTACACGGGGTGGGGGGCCGGAGCAAGCTGTAAGAAGCTTGCCTTTTTGATAGTAATAGTATTTTCCAACAATCCTTTTGCACACAACCAGAAAAAAAGCGAAATAGAACAGGGAAAACGCGAGAAAAAGTCCAACAACTTATTTTAGGATATAGTCCAAGCAGTAGAAGGTAGTGTCACTTTCTCCTCAACTTCCCCTGAACACCGGCAGTTTTTTCCGGGCTGTGGGAGGAAGCAGGATGCCTTTCAGTGGCGAGAAACTTCGCAGAGATTGCCTTCAACCCTCGGGAGTCCTGTTATCGTTTTGTCTGTAGCCTGTCACTGGAAACATGTCTCCCGATCCGAAGTCACCCCCTCAGAAATCTTATTTCTTAGAGGTGTAAAAAAAAAATCTAGATTTGTCCTCCTTTTACGGTGCAAGGGAGAGCACCGACCCGCTGCTGCTCGCTGCTTTTACCGGGAGCTGTCCTCGGTGCTGAAACGAGCATCTAACCCCCCTCTCCTACTCACCCTCCCTCCCTTCCTCACTCCCCTCCCCTACAGAGCTGGGTGGTGTCTTCACGGCTGCTCTCCCTTCTTGCGCACACACACACACACACACACACACACACACACACACACACACACACACACACACACACACACACACACATACATACAAACGTGCACGTACAAACACACACACTAGCTAGCGTATGGGGCGAATCCTGGCATCTGGGTGGGAAAAACGAATGTTTCAGGAACCATTCAACTAAAATCAGTCCTATTGTCCTATTCTCAGAAAAGCCCAATAATCATATACAGCACATCACACATGTGTTATATGAATGTGTATAATATTACCCCCAACTTCATGCACCTGTGACACACAGTCAAAGGTTAAATGCACCTGTTTAAAACATCAGTTGTATTCTGTCACAGCAATTCCAGTCCATAGTTGTGGAACTGCTGCATTCATTATTGTGCCATTATTATAATAAACTAAACGCTCACAATGCTGCAATTTGACCCATAGCTTGAATTGATTTGCATAACATTTAGTTTGCATATGTAAATACAGGACAGTATTTGTGTTTCCACTGAATAAATAGAGTGTATTCTTCCTAGTTTAGCCTTTTGATTGCAACATGTTTAAAGTTTTATTTCGAGACTAAGACTTTGTAAATATTAAATGATCTTAACACAAATCTTCAAAACCCAGGTGGAGGGCTGTAAATGGTTGTGAATTGGGACATTTTTTTAAAGATGAGCAACAGCGCCTCCCTCTGTTTGTATATAAAGATGCCCACATTTAATTTGTCAGCACCATGGACAGATCCTCACACAGACAGCAATAGAATAAGTGGAGTCACATTGTTAACCGAATATACTTGATGAAGATGTATATGAATTTCCTATTTAAATTTTCAAGATATGTGACTAAGATTGATCTTTTCTGGTTCTGCGTGAACATCCATCTTAGTCACAGTTTGAGTTTATGAGACAGAAGTGACCAGATGATCTTGATTTACAGGATACCATGCATTAGATTTCTACATAGGTTTGTGATTAATCAATAACAAGACTGCTAGAAAAGTCAAAGTATAATCCGTAGTCACGAGCACACACCGCCTGCCCCAGCTGCAGGGCCAAATCAGGGCTTGTATGAAAAACAAATATTGTTAGATAAAATATAAAACACACAAAGTCTGCTGTTTCTCCGGGAGTGTTGTTCCTAGCAAACTCTGTTGTCATCACAGCCCTCTGCTTACATGCTGCTTTTTATTTTCCTTTTACTTCCATCTGTCCACTTTTCAATAACCTTGCCCTGAGATTTTTTTTTGTGGCATTCCTTCGCCAGCTGTGTTGTACCTCTGAAGACAAAATGCCACAGCTTTTCTCTTTGAATGATAGAATTGTCAGTCTGTTCAGCCTTGTATTAGCTGACGTGTACAGAGGCGGAACCACTGAGGCAGTCATTGCGTTATATTGGTGCATGAATTGGTAGGAGTTAGTTGTTCGTGCTCAGTGGCACTTCTGCAAATATTGGACATCAGTTAAATTAACAAGCACTGCAACTCCTGTATTTCCTCTCGAGCTGCCCTGTCTGTATGTAGCCTAAATTAATAACAACCCCTAGTCTCTGTCCCACCTTTCCAAGCCACCTTTTTTCACTATACTCTCACATTGTATACATTTGAAAAATTCAAATCCAATTTAATAAATTATAGTAAATGGTGAAAATATTTACGCCTGTGTCTGCGTTGCGGTGTTATTCAGTGTTTAAAAAGATATATATATATATAAAAAGGATGGGAAACATTTTAAAATGTTAAAACTTTTTAAACAGCTCAGTATGACACAGATACATAAACTACACAGCGTATGCTCAGAAGATATTAATAATACAAATGTGCTAAACAGTCTGTGTCAGCCAGTATGTTTATTGTATTTCTTGGCAGTACAATTTGAGACACTTAATCACAAAATCAATGCCTCCCGTAACTATTAACATTGATTGACAAATACAAAGATAAATGGAGCAAGAGAGTGAGTAATATGAAAGAAAGTGAATGATATAGAGTGAAAGAGAGGAGGTGAGCCTGACTAGGACCTGAGCAGTCACCTGGAAGTAGGTCATGCTTGTAGATTCATCATAAATAAATGTAGCCACTGCACCGCTCCCTGCTGCTCGGCTATTTAAAGACCAGATAATTGACCACCTGTAAAGACCTAAACCTGTTTGGGTCAGCACAATATTTATTTAAACTCCGATCTCTCAGTCCCCAAAGAGCACTTAGTTTAAATGGCATAAAAGCTTTAAAATACAAACAGCAAAACGCCCAGCAGTCCCTTTACCATAAGAGACCACACATTCCTCCATGTTTCCTGCAGGCATTTTGAAATATATTAACATAGACTGAAACATTCCCTGGTAAAAGGTTTTTTAAAAGGACATTTTGGAAAATCAGATTCCCATTTACTCAGTCAGTGAGACAAATCCCACAGCTGAAAGCACATATTTACATCAAACAGGCTGTGACGTGTATTTTAGTTTCTTATTTCCTTTGCTGTATCAGATCTTTGAAAACTCATTTCAATCCTATACTGGTTATTACAAAATAGATTATGAAATATTTACCCCACAAGCACAGCGTCAACATTCATAATTTATTATTCCTCCAAGAGAGATGCAATATTCAAGAGGTTTCTAATTTTGTACATTAAAAATAAATCCACTTCTTACTCTGCAAATAACATCTTAAGCACTTCTCTTCCTTTACAAAGACCAACTCGCAGCACATTCATGTTCTCCTCGTGCAGTGCAGACAACATTATTAAAGGGAATTTCGGGCCAGTCACAGATGGTTGAAATACACAGCATACTACTCCTACTTCCATCTTTGAGTACAGCCACGCTGAATGATGCCAGGCCTTCGATGGGATGTCTGCTCGTACAGCAGGCAGACATTCAGTGCGGAAAATTGGTTGAGAGTGTTTACCAAAATGAGTTTATATGTAAGCCTCAGCACTTCCTTAGTCAGCTATTTATAAATACAAAAAACTTTGAACAGTGCTGCAACTTAAATTGTCCGTTTTGAATGTTGTTATGAAAACAGTATGCAGGGTACATTCTGTTTAAAATGTGAGAAAACACTAAACCAATCAGTGGATCAAAGACCACCAAGTATTTTGAACTTAACAGTTAACCTTTTATTTCACTTATTCAAAATGAAGAGGATTGGACCAGTTGTGAAAACATCTGAAAAATGTCAAGTATATAGTACACAAAATAAAATGATGGTGTTTCTGCAAGAAGGGACATTGCACTCGGTGAAACTACTTTTAATACATACATACAAAATTGTCAATTTAAAACAAGAATAGAAGCATAATCACTGTGTCAGGAAATCATCTATTTGGTCATTTCTTTATGAAGTTTACAAATGCTCAGCCCCCCTATTCTTAGCAGGCTGGTGACTAGCCTTAAACTTACCTAACAGGTACCCTCCAACACCCTCGGCTAATACTGCAATGAGTCATCAAACTAATTGTGTCTTCAAAGGCTGCTCGGCAAGGATTTCAGCTTATTTTAGAAGTCTGCTGATGAACTCATAAGCAAGAAGCTCCTTTCCTCTGCAGTATTGATCTTCAAACATACACTTTAAGTCCTTCTGGGAATTAGCAACAAGTCCCAATGTCCCAGATTTGGTATCAAAACTAAATATATTTAGCTTATTCGAGCTTCTTACCAATTTCACTCAGATGTGCTTCATGAGTCAGTCAGGTAAGCTGAGGAAGTAGCTTTAGTTGGTACATTATAAATCAAATGTTTGCATCGGTTTTATGACACATTTCTTTACAGGAAAGATATTTCAAAACAGACAACATTTCAACAGACACATTAGATGAATATTTGTTGTGACTATGACTCTGTGATATTCTCTTGGGTCGTGAGAAATACAATTACAATATCTCAGGATTTCAGTCCGATTCAGCCGGTCAAAAAATGACTTTCTTTGTGCTTTGTGTCGCTTTGCTGCCCCTCTCTCGTTCCCTCACCCACTCTCTGTACAGGCCAAGGCAGCTTTCCATGCTAAACTAGGTCCACTGCTCTCCCCGGAGACAAGGCTATTTAACAGGAAGCCCACTAAACATTAAGGGCTTTGGCAGCAGAGCAGAGCGGGGTGTTGAGGGACAGACACACGGCTGCAGGAGCTAGGAAACTATGAGCCTGGAAGAAACCACAGAGAGACAGGAAGTTGAACGCCCTAGCTTGTCTTCTGGCCAGCAACACAGCAGCAAAGCTGTCATCCCACTCACTTACACTCAGTCGTCAGGTGTGTGTGTGTGTGTGTGTGTGTGTGTGTGTGTGTGTGTGTGTGTGTGTGTGTGTGTGTGTGTGTGTGTGTGTGTGTGTGTGTGTGTGTGTGTGTGTGTGTGTGTGTGTGTGTGTGTGTGTGTGTGTGTGTGTGTGTGTGTGTGTGTGTGTGTGTGTGTGTGTGTTGAACTGTGTACTGGTGATAGCATCAAGGCAGAGGGTGTCTCATTGGAGGCAGGTCTGAGCAGAGCAGGGAAATGTTGAATCTATTTTGGATGACGCCAGCGGAGCGAGAAGTTACTCTTGAGTTACTCTTGTGGAGCTGACAGCAGAAGCTCTGACCTTTTCCATAATGTTTAATTGTTTGTGGGCTGAGACCCAATTGATAACTTTGTAGCTTTTATGACAGCAGTATGACATGTTATATTTTTGCAACTTACTTTAAACAGTTTTGCATGTGAAATGATGTGTCATTCACACAAATGCTTTTCAATTTCAAGACATT